CTTACTTTGAAGGCCTGTCTCACTCGAGCTCCCAGACAGAAATTGGTAGCATCCACAGCGTCCGGAGCCAGAGAGAGCCCTCCAGTCCTGTAAGTCATATTTCTAGGGTGGTATTTATCTACAGGTGATAGTACAACAAACAGCAAGGATTACTGCATCCATCTGAACAGCATTGTTGCATTGTAAGTTAACATGTCAGTGAAAAAGATCAACCTGCCATGTAGCCAGATGTTCTTAGCTTTGAAGCTTGTGCTGTGCTGTCATTAGTGATATTTGCATTCTATGTTTATAACAATGTTAGGCGAAATGACGCCATGTCAAGGAAAGAAGGTTCGATAGTTGGGGTTTTTTTTGTTTTTTTCTGGCAGGGGGAGGCAGATTCACATGCTGAGGTTGCTGCAGCATTAATGTGAACATATTGCATGTGTTGTAATAAGCCTCCAGTAGAGTAAATGAGCCTAGATTCAATTCCACATTTAAGAAGAACAGGAAATGTTCCCTGTGTGTAGTGTGAGCAAACTCATATGGTAGAAACCTTTGATCCTTGCAGGGAGGCATCTTCACAGCAGGGGAGTATAGCTGAAAACATTCCTGTAGCAATGTCTTCTGGAGTAGCGCATGCCCCATTTGCCCCTTGGGGATGGGGTTGGGCAGAGGAAAGAGAACCATTTGAAGTAAATTTGGAAGTAGGTGTCATTCCTATTTCAAGATAATTTCTTGACTTCCATAGGTAGAGCTTGAAACTGCCTGTCCTGGTGTATATCATGTTATGCTTTGCTTATGAGGCAGGGATATTATTCTGATCCAGTTCTAGGGTATCTTTACACATGTAAGTGCCGCAGTACTGGGCGCTTTGTTGCTTGCAGTTGTGTAAGCAGCAAAATGCGCCTCAGCACGCAGAAAATGGCGGCAGTCCAATTTTGAACTAAAATGCATAAAAGGTGTTAGTTTAGGAGTGCGCTGCCACCATTTTCTCCACACTGACATGCATTTTGCCACTTGTACAACTGCAAGCAATGCAGCATCATGTGCATCAGCTCGTATGCAGAGCAGACTTGATTAATCGAGTCTGCTCCAATGCACCAGAGGCATTAAAATGTATGTATATAAATGCCCTTGGGTCTTAAATCTCTCTTTAGACTCTGAATTCTCAGGGAGGCAGGTCTTAGTCCATTAAGGACCTTACTTAAGAACAGGATGTTGAATTTGATCCAGAAGTATTCAGGAAACTAGTGGAGTTGGCAGAGCCCTGGAATAACGTTTCCATTACGTGGAGATGTGTAATCTCTGGAAGTGTTTAATGTTTAATTTCAGGGTAATACTGTGATATGAAAACTGTTGCAAATGGCTCTGAGGGTATCTGAATCTGCAGGAAAGGGAATTTTGTCTGTTGCTGTTTGCCAGGTTCTCTTGCATTACAACTTCATCTTTCAGTGTTTTAAAATTGCTTATTTCCATTAAATGTCTGTTAATACCTGCAGATGTTTCAGTTTTGAGTTCTTTAGCCAAGGATTTGGTAAGGTAATACCTTCATAAAAGGAAGCACTCCAGTTCTTGTATAAATACTACCCAACTGCATTATAAACTCTGTCCCGGAAGCAGCAGCTGCAAAATGCATCTCTACTGGAAGCATTGCATGCTTGCATGCACACACTAAGCTTTCTGACTGCTGTCTCTTTCAAAGCAGGTAGAAGTGCCTGAAAAAACAAAGAGTCTTGGAAGCAAGCATCCAGGCAACAGCATCTCTGACACTGTGTCTTACGTAAGTTTTAAAACTAATTCTGTGATGTTCATCTTGGTAGTTTCAGTATTTGGATGTTCTGCACTGTCTGGGATTTGTCCACCTTTGGGAGGCTTGAGTCCCTGAAAATGAGAGCTTCCCTAAGGGGTTGCACATTGCTACCCAAAGTCACTAGCTACTTTTAGAAAAATCTTTCTGTGTCTTTGTTCTATTTGCCAAGGGGAATGAATGAGGAACCAAAAAGTTAGCATTAAGGTGGTGATGTCTCTTTGATATTGAATACTGAAATTCAGAAACTTTGTAGAGCTAAGGAGTTTCTTCTGGTGGTCGGCCTCAGCAGCAGTACTATTTCCCTTGCTCAATAAAACATGAAGGTGATTGATTTCTATTTATAGCCCATTTCAGATGCATGTAGTGTGACTGAACTGTTGATGAGAGAGAACATTGAATTTTTAGAATTCCAGGCCTTTGTTTCATAGTTCTGGTGCTCCATTAAATTCATACATAATTAGATCCCTGAAATGTCCTGTGAAGGCTGCAAATCATTTTTGCAATTTTTTATGAAATGCAAAACCCTTGGCCCTTGATTTGCTATTGACATGGAAAGCTTTGTTTCTTACAGCCCCATGTCCTCTAAATAGTCATCTTTTATGGTCCTCTCTTATGAATATTTTCTTATAGCCAATTTAAGTAACTTTGCAGCTTTACTGGAGAGAGAAACGAGACCTCTCAGTTAGGACAGGCTGGGAGAGGCTGAATAAATTTCTAGTCTTTAAGAGTATGGTCTCTAACTGCTGTAAGCAGAATTCACCAGGCCTCCTCTCCTAACCAGCTTGGAAAGATAATAAATTTACAACCAGCTGCCAGTATTTTAGCTAGTTTTAGGCAATTCCTGTTGGTGTTAGCCAGGGATTCTGCCAAAAGATGTGTTCCTATTTTTGCTAGTTGGCCTTGTCTTCTGTGTCTCCTTTAGTGTAATAGAAAGTCCTAATATAAGGGAAGAGCATGTATGCTCCAGTCTTTCAGTGGAGAGTGGATTTCCAATTTTAACCTAGCATTTCTTGCATTCTATTTGTTCCTTTACATGGCCACCTCTGGAGAACTCCAGAGACTTCAGTGCAGTCCTCTGCATGCATTCCCTACATGGGTGTCTTGCCCCAGGAGAGAACAGATTCTGCACCCTCTGCTGGGAGCTAGAACCTTTTGCCCCCTCTGAAGTCATTCATTTGCTTCCTCGTTGGTGTTGGCAAAAATCCCTCTGTCCTTGGTGCAGTTTCCTCCTTGCAAAAAGCCTCTCCCCTTTCTGAATTACCTGTCTGGAACCAGCAGGCATGGAGAGAGGTAGGACATG